AAGCTTTCATGGGACTTTGAAAAATTCAAGGCGCGTTCAAATGCCTGTGGAAGAGGGTCACCGTCCACAGGTTATTGAATCTCGTGTGAGATGTCATATAGAAAAGGCGGTTAATTTCATCACAAACATCCTGAATAGCTTCTTGCCCATGCATGATTTTAGAATTTCCCGTAATTTATTTTACACAACCGATGAAAATTCTTCTTGTACTATCAAAGCGTCTGGTATTCATAGAAATGCATTAAAAAGTGCTGTTGTGGATTCTACGTGGGAGAAGGAGCAGAGTTTGTTTTCACCTTTAGTAGACCCGTCTAGTCTGGAGGTGAGGAATTTCATCACTCGCCGGCATCAACTTTTTTCTTCAGATTCAGTTTGTACGAACGTGGAACATCTTGATGATGGGGTTCATTGATAATCATCATAATAATTTAGTGCGTCTAGGCGAAGAGAAAATAAACCTTGATTCAATGAATATTAGGTAAGAATTTTTACCATGGAGTTATAGTATATCTTATGGCATAAAGTTTTGTTAGGAACTCTATACCATTATTATTGTTATTTTTGCTTATTTTCTCTTGTTTATTTAGCCGTTGTGTTCGTAGCATTTCACTAATAGTTCCGTAAGTAAGCATTGTAGTGTAGAGGGAAGGAATAACTTCCTATTCTGTATATATTATTATAATTTTTTATCTTCTTTTTTCGATATTGAATTATTCGTTCCTTCTCACACACACACTCTCTATATATCTATATTAAATTCCTTAAAACATGAATGTAAAGAGGAAATACGAATCCCATTTTTTCATTTTAACTCATTAAAAAAAATCTGCTGTTGCTTTTAATGAGACGAAAATCCTATTTACTATTTGTTGAATAATCATTTATAAGCACCATTTGTTATTTTTATTGTACTTTGTTGACCATAATCTGCACGCATTGTACATCTTAAAAAAAAAAATTCACTGCACGACACTTGATTATGGCTATTTTTGGGGGAAAAATGATAGCAGTAAACATTTGTGCAATAACATTTATTTCAATGATTTAATTCTACTTGATTTACACTTAGATTCAATTTCTTTTTTCTGATTTTTTTAGTCCTTAGTCATAGTTCCTTTTGGGTATCAAAAATATCTTTTTTTATTTATTATTGTAATTTATTGTATCTTATGTCTTCACATTTAAGTGAGTATGATGTTGTTCGAGATTCTCGAAGAGACCCTATAGAGAGAGAAAATTCCAAACTCTCCGCTAAGTTCTACAAGGAGGTCTGCAAGCGCGAGAACGTGGAGTGTGCACCCGAGCTAATAGATGCTTTGGAGAACATTAAGAAAGTCTTACATTTTGGGAAGCGCCCGAATCCATTGAATGACAAGGATCTTATTTGTATAGCGGAGGTCTTTCGTGGGTTAGATTCCAGCTTTGGTCTGCGAGCGGTGAGTTTCGAGAGTCAGGCCTTTGGGTTGGAAGGGATCATGGCGTTAATGAAGGCCCTGGTAGCCAATCCAGGCTGCTTTCACGAGCTCCGCCTGGGCAAAAATAATCTAAAAGACGACGTGGCGGTCCTCATCGCACGGACGTTATCACGCGATGGCTGCGGGCTGAAGGTGCTCGACCTCTCTGACAATGCACTGACCAAGTCAGGCGTTCTGCCGATTGCGGAATGCCTGCAGAACCCGACCTCCAGCCTCATCGAGGTGAGCCTTCACCATAATAACCTCAACAGCGAGGCGGCCGAGGGCCTCTCGCGGGCCATTGAGCGGTCCGCCAAGCTCAAACATCTCCATCTCGGACTGAACCATCTGCTGGACAAGGGGGCCCTGGAGCTCGCGCACGCGCTCCGGCACAGCCGCGCCCTCTCGACGCTCGACCTCACGGGGAACGAGATCGGCAGCGACGGCGGCGCGGCTCTCGCGGCGGCCCTCACCGACCCCGCCTGCTCCCTCCAGCGGCTGAACCTGCGGCGGAACCGGCTGGACCCGGCCGCGCTCGCGCGCCTCGTCGAGGCCCTCGCGGTGAACCGCTCGCTGCTGCAGCTCTTCCTGGGGCAGATGGCGGCCCCGCCCGAGCTCACCCTCGCGGC